TTTCAATTTAATAATAATAGTAATTAATAATAATAATAATAATAATGGTAATGAATAATAAATGTAAATTCAAATCGATGTTTTTCGTGTGTTTTTATTGTTTCTGTTTTTCCTTTTTTTTCTTGTTTTTTTTTTTTTGGGGGAGGGGGAGTCACAAAGTTATTAACAAAAAAAAATAAACGATATTAATTAATTAATTAATCATTATTATTATTATTTTATTTAATTTAAACATTTTTTAGAGGAGACTTCATAGTTTGAAGGATTTTCGCTCTAAAACATTGGTAACGAAGCTTTATAATTTTTATGTGAATTATATAACACGATTTTAAATATTAATAATAATGATGAGAATGATAATGATATTAAAATCATATAGTAAAATAATTGTATTATTATTATTATTATTAATTTAAGGTCGTGTAAAAAAAAAAATTAAAAATTTATTAATTATGTTAATTATTAATTAATGTTCGTGTCTCGAAATCGATCTCAATTTTTAAATGTTTTCATTATTATTATTATTATTATTATTTATTTTTTTTCTCGTGAAAATTATTAATTATTATCATTATCATCATCATCATTATATTATACGCGTGATGAAGATATCGAAAGAATTTTAATAATAATCTGTAATTATTTATTAATTGATAATTTCCGTTACGATTAATTATTATAATTTAAACGTTTTTTTTTTTTTTGGACAAGATAATGACGATGATTATCATTGTGATGATGATAATGATGATGATAATGATGATGATAATGATGATGATAATGATGATGATGATAAAGATAAATAAAAAAATAATTTATTACTTTTCTGTCAAATACAATAAAAAAAAAAAAAGTTAAGAAAGAAAAAATTGAATGGAAAATGACCGACCGACGACGACGACGACAAATTTTCATTTTAAAGTTTAAATTATTATTATTATTAATAAAATAAAATATTAAAAAAAAATTATCAAAAAATTAACAACACAAAAAAAAAATTTTTTTCTTCTATCCGTTTTGTATTGCACTCTTATTATCATTATTATTAATATTTTCATTGTAAAAAAAAAATGGCGAATTTGTTAATTTAAAAATTGTCAAAAAAAAAAAAAAAATTTAAAATTTTAAAATAACGGTCGAAATTTGTTTTAAACCCGACGTGATGACGTCACAATTACCAACAAAAAATAATAATAATAATAAATCGGGTCATTCAAAATTATTTTTTTTTATTTAATTTATTAACTGACCGATTTATAAATTCGTTTTCACAAAAAAAATTACCAGAGATATAAGAGAGACCGAGAAAGAGAGAGAGAGAGAGAGACGAAGAGAGAAGAGAGCGAGAGAAAATTTATTCCTAGAATGTTTTTTTTCTTTCACCCTCTTCAATCGGAATTTTGTAATATGATTTTGAATGAGTAAAAACGGTTTTGTTATGAAAATAAGTTAAATCCGGTCACATGATGATTTTGATACCGGATCTGAAGGGTTACACCTCACTTTTATCATTATTATTCTCTCTCACTCTCTCACTCTCTCTCTCTCTCTCTCTCTTTTTCTCGTTTCGAAAGAGGGGAAATAAATTTTTTTTTTTTTTTTTTTTTTTATGAGTGAAAATTCATCATAATCATTGGCTCTTCCTCGCCATTCATAACACACACACGAGCGTTGCGGAATGACCTATTTTTTTCTTTTTTAACCGTAAATCATCGTTTTTAATTCTTTTATAAAAAAATTTTTCGTGCGACAAGTGATGATGATGATGATAATAATAATAATAATAATAATAATTACCGATGACAAGGTATTTTAATAATTTGGAGGAGTAGAAAAAAAACTATAATCATTACTTTTTTTTTTCTATCATAAAGTTAAAGGCGATTTCATATTAATAATAATAATAATTTTTTTTCAGTTATAAACCGGAAACTAAAGTTTTATAATAGGTTTAAATTTTTACAAAGTAAAATATAATCTTTTACAAAAAAAAAAATATATATATATATGTTTGAAGAAGATGTCAAAAAGGTTTTAAACCCTCCGAAGAAAAAAAGAAAACCTTTTTACATTATACTTAAAAAAGAAAGAAAATACGTCGCGATTATCCTTAAAAATCTTTTTCCAATAAGAAAAACCTTTTTTTTTTAACGGTTTTAAATTTTTCATCTCGTTAAAGTACAGAAAAAAAAATATTAAAAATTGAATTTCGTGCTTTTTTTTCCGGGGGGCGGGGAAGGGGGAGGGTAGAATCCCCAGAAATTAATAAAATTTTACGTGAATTTTTTTAATGTATTTATGTATTATGTATTATGATTTTAGTTAATAAGTCGTAATTTTTTCTTATTGTTGACACCACAGTTAAAAAGCGTAACTTATAAAAACGCAATTAAATTATTGATGGAGTTAAAAAAATAAACAATCGAGGGCCTCGACTCTTTTGCAAGGCCTTAAAATAATATCGACGAGATTAATAATGTTGTAACTCACATTTCAATAACAAAAAACATTTTTCACGAGTCCGCCATATTTGTTGTTGAGGGAAAAAAAAAATCGATAATCGATCGAATTGTATTTTCCCAATCGATTTTAAACAAAAAAAAAATCGAATGAAGGTTTATGTGGTGAGTATTATTAATAACGAACGCATCAAAAATTATAAATTACCGAACGTGACAATAATAATAATAATAATAAATTTTCGCAATTGGAAAATTCAATGGAAAAAAAAGGGAATCAACAGGTCGACGACAAAGTTGGAAAAGCTTTTGTGAATGAAAAATATTTAAAAAAAAGGAGGAGAAGGAAAAATTTTCCTTGAGGTTTCGGTGTTCATTACGTATAAAAAACAAACAAAAAAAAACTTTTAATTGAGTTTTAATAATAATAATAATAATAAACTCGTATCCCCGTTTTTTAAAGTTAAAAATTTCATAAAGAAAATTAACAATGATAAAAGATATTCCTGCTTTGCACGTAGCAAATTTTTTTTTTTTTTTTTTTTTTATTGAACGTTTAGGGCTTTGAGAAGATTATTTTATTCCGGATGCTGCATTGCACTATTAACGGTGAAATCTGACGGGGGACCAAAAAAAAACACGCAAAAAAAAAAAAATTCGCGCGACCGAATTAAAAAATTCAAAAAGTTTTCTTTTTTTTTAAGCGAGTTTTGTTTACGAAAATTTTTTCTTTGTCGTATTGTTAAAAGTGTTTTCTACTACTACTATTATTATTATTATTATTGTTTTATTTTTTTAACGATAAATAAAACTTTGGGAAATTTTCGTGGGATAACCGTTATTATATTTTAAGGATTATTAATTTTTTCTTTTCGAGGTGATTTAATTAAATAAATAAAAATATTTCATTAAGTTATTTTGTTTATTGTTTATATTAATAATTATTTAAATTTATTAATAATTAATTTATAATAATAATAATAATAATACGTATTTTTAATTATTTAAAAAAAAAAAGTTTCGGAAGAACGAAAAAATTAGTGTTTAGCATAAGGTAAGATTTATTTCAATTTAATTTTTAAGAAATTTATTATTATTATTATTATTATTATTATTATTGAGGTTTTTGGTATACCTTATCAGGTACTTTTTATCACTAAAAAAAAAATTTTCACGTGTACTCTGTTAAAAAAATTTTTTATTGTTTTTATATACATAAAAGTTAGGTAAATTTAAAGAAACGAGAAAAAAATTTTATTTTATTTATTTATTTATTTATTTACAAGCAGACGATAAAATTTAACGAACTCGTGAAAAAATTTTTAGTTTTTTTTTTTTTTTAGTTTTTAGTTTCAAAACTAATAATAAACAACTCAATTAAAGTGTTTTCGAATAAAAAAACAAAAAAAAGGCACAAAAATTATTTTAAAACACCGACATTTTATATAAACTAAACACGAATGTAAAATTACCCAAAATTTTTTTAATTAAATAAAATTATTATTATTATTATTATTATTATTAAACGGTCATTAAACACACGCACACGCGTACAATTTGCGTGCGAAAAAAAAAATGTTATAATGAATGATAAAATTAGAAAAAAAAATTTTAAATTTAAATAATCGAGCCAAAAAGAATTTTTTTCACACTCTTTCACCCAAATAATAATAATAATAATTTTAATGTAAGAAATTCGAGATAACAATCAGCCAATAATAATAAAATAATTTATTATTAATATGACGTCATAATACAAAAATAATATTCGATAGAAATTAAGAAAATATATATAAATATAATGATGATTATTCACATATGTAAAGCTTAGGTCAGTTGTAAGTTTGTCGAGTCCTTGTAACAAAAGTCAGACAATTTAAAGTAATTTGTCTTAATTCGAAAATTTTTCTGGTTTAAGTAATAATAATAATAATAATGATGATGATGATGATAAATAAAAACCACCGTAAAATAATAATCATGATAATTTTTAGGGATTTCATATGCGGATTTGATATGATCATTATTTGATGATAAAAATAATAATAATTTACGGTATATAAATAATGACGGAATTTAAAGAAAATTGTTCGACCGATGAAAAACAACAACAGCAGCAGCAGAATATTTCCCTGGAATTAAAACAATATACGTCGGATACGACTACGACCGTACAAAAGGGAGATCTTCCAGATCGTGGAACATGGGGCAGCAAGTTAGACTTTATACTATCAGTCGTAGGTTTAGCTATCGGTTTAGGGAATGTGTGGCGTTTTCCATACCTATGTTACAAGAACGGTGGTGGTGCATTTTTGATACCTTATTTTATGACTTTGTTCCTGGCGGGTATTCCGATGTTTTTCATGGAACTCGCCATGGGTCAAATGTTAACAATAGGAGGTTTAGGTGTTTTTCGTATAGCTCCCATATTTAAGGGTATCGGATACGCTGCCGCTGTCATGTCTTGTTGGATGAATATTTATTACATTGTTATACTTGCTTGGGCGATATTTTATTTTTTCATGTCGATGAGAACGGGTAAGTTATTTACAAAAAACGAAAACCCCTTCCCCCTCCCGCTTACCACTCTCCTGCAAAACCTTTCATCAGAAAAAGGATGCGTTCATAATAATTATTTGTTTCCCCCAACAACAGCAACAAAAAAAAATTTACATGATTATTATTTCCCTTTCCATTCCCCCCCCCCAAATAACGAGCTAACAAAAAATTTATTGTGAAAAATGTCATTAATAATAATAATAATAATAACAATGTTTAACAAGAAAGCATGTCAATTGTTTTTTTGTTTATATCCAAATGTGGTTTAGTTGTCGGCGGTTAGTTAATTTCATCATCACTCAGTGAAACCCACAATGAAAAATTAAAACATTAAAAAAATTGGGTCCCATTCAAAACATTTACAGGCTCCCAATAAATGTTTGTTTGAAAAAATAATGATATAAAAGGATGTACTAATAATCGGCCATGTTATTTTTTAATTTACAAAAAAAAAAAAAAAAAAATTATTTACCGAAATAAATTGATATTAATTTTAATTCTTTTTTTTTTGAAAAAAATTTCGGTTGTTGTTATTATTATTATTAAACGTTTCCAGATGTGCCATGGAGAACTTGCAACAATTATTGGAACACGGATACCTGCGTAAATCCATACGACAGAAAAAATTTATTCTGTTGGGATACATCGATCGATGGAACGTTAACGAAAATGTGCAAAGTCAATCAATATAATCTTACGTATAGAGAAATGACGGATCCGGTTAAAGAATTTTGGGAGTGAGTATGGACGGAAAAATTTAAAAAAAAAAATTTTGGAATGGGATTAAAAAAAAAAATTAATTAATTTCCAGGCGGAGAGCATTACAAATCTCCAGCGGTATCGAACAAATTGGTACAATAAGATGGGAACTTGCTGGAACTTTACTTTTGGTTTGGATAGTTTGTTATTTTTGCATTTGGAAAGGTGTTAAATGGACTGGTAAAGTAAGTGATGGCGTCCGTCGTGTTTGTTTTTTTTATTTTCAGTAATTTTTCCAAAATTATACATTTTTTTTTCCAGGTTGTTTATTTCACCGCTTTATTTCCTTACGTTCTTTTAACCGTATTACTTATAAGGGGAGTAACACTTCCCGGTGCTGGAGAAGGTATAAAATTTTACGTCATGCCTAATTTATCAAAATTAAAAGAATCGCAGGTAAAGAATCACAAAAAAAAAATTGATCACGTGGTTTTCACTCGACGCGACGGTAAAAAAATTTTTCTTTTAAGGTATGGATCGATGCAGTCACCCAAATATTTTTTTCGTATGGATTAGGTTTAGGTACCCTGGTAGCTCTTGGAAGTTATAATAAATTTACCAATAACGTGTACAAGTAAGAAAAAAATAATGAATCGATTACTTTTATAAGAGCAAAAAATTTGTCTTCCTTACGTGTTTGTTGCGTGTTTGTAGGGATGCTTTGATTGTATGTACGGTTAATTCAAGCACTAGCATGTTTGCCGGATTTGTTATATTTTCCGTTGTCGGATTCATGGCACACGAACAACAGAAACCGGTATCGGAAGTTGCCGTATCAGGTCCGGGATTAGCATTTTTAGCATATCCTTCAGCGGTATTACAACTTCCGGGATCTCCAATATGGTCTTGTTTGTTTTTCTTCATGCTTTTACTAATCGGATTAGATTCTCAGGTATTACTTTAAATTTTGTTTTGTAATTTATGTACAAAGAAAAACAAAAACAAATTTTATGTATATAAAATTATAGTTTTGCACGATGGAAGGTTTTGTCACGGCGATGGTCGACGAATGGCCACAACTTTTAAGAAGGAAGAAAGAAATTTTCATCGCCATTGTTTGCGTTTTATCTTACATAATTGGATTATCCTGCATATCTCAGGTAACAGAAAAAAGCAGGGGGGAATTTCAGGGGGGGGAAAAGGGTTTTAACGAGTAATAAAATACCTGACGTAAGTGATGATAATAAAATTGTCGGAAAATCATTTCCAGGGAGGAATGTACGTGTTTCAAATACTTGATTCATATGCCGTAAGCGGTTTTTGTCTTTTGTTTTTGATATTTTTCGAATGCGTGTCCATATCTTGGGCATTCGGAGTGGATAGATTTTACGACGGTCTAAAAGAAATGATTGGTTATTATCCGATAAAATGGTGGAAATTCTGTTGGGTTTTCACGTGTCCATTCATATGCATCGTAAGTTAATTTTAAATTGATTAAACAACTGTACCTTAACTCTTCGAAGAAAAACATTTTTTTTTTTGTTTTGTTTCCAGAGCGTTTTTATTTTTAACTTAGTACAATGGACTCCGATAAAGTATTTGGACTACGAATATCCTCTATGGAGTCACTTGTTAGGATGGGTTACTGGTTTATCTTCAATGTTGTGCATTCCAGGTTACATGATATGGTTATGGTACAAAACTCCTGGAGATTTTCAAACGGTAGATAAATTTCTTTTCCATATTAACGTTCCTATCGAAACTTTTAAATTTATTAATAATAATAATAATTTTTTCATACGCAGAAAATGAGATTGTTGGTTAGAATAGATGATGATGTGGCAACATTAAGAGGAAAAATGCAAGCAGAAGCAAGAGAATTAGCTTCCGCGAGTTAATATGATTATTATATCATATACAATTTGCCTTTTATTAATGCTGCCGTTAAATTTTTTTTTTTTTTTTTAAATTTTCAATCATACCAGAGACATTTTACCAAAAAAAAAAAAAAAAACTTTACAGTGAAAATATAATACAAGTGTTATGGTTAATTATAATAAGTTAGTATACTTGAACCGATAAAAAACAAAAAAAAGAAAAATTATCAAATAAAATTCTATGCTTTAATTAATTTTAAACGTTTATTTTTGCGTTATCGATAATGATAATAAAACTTTTAATAAAAAAAAAAAAAAAACCGCGAATTTCAAAAATAAAATAAAAACGAATTTAAAAACCTGGAAAACATGCACGATCGACTACTATATAGAAAAAATGTCACCTGAAAATGAAACGAAATTAATAATAATAATGAGAATAAAATCTAAGTACATCCAATCTCCAATAAAAAAAAAACAATTAAAAAATCACATTCGAGCTATTCGAATCGATTTCATGAAAATTTTCCAGCGTTTTTCCTAAAAAAATTTTTTTTTTTTTAAAAGTTTTTCCACATCGAATTCATAATAATAATAAACGATCCAATAGATTTATTATGTACATGTATAAAAGGAGTTGTTGACATTTTCAATTATTTATTTATTTATTTATTAATCAATTAATCAATCAATACATAATCAAATCTTTTATTTTTAAAAATATATATATGTATATGTATGTAATCGAATCACTAAGCGATTTGAAATCCTCAAAACAAAAAAATTATCATTATTTTTTTTCCAATTTTAAAATATATAACGTTTAACCGCCACTGGAAAATTTTTTTTTTTTTTATATAAGACGAAACCAAAAATTTAAATACGTAATTTCAATTACATCGTACGTACATAATAATAATAATAATAACATTTGCCATACAATTTAACTTTGAAAAATTTTTTTCCCCCCTCAAAATAAAGAATTGTTCAATTAATTTAATTAAAATTTTTTTTTTTACAAACAACTCCCACTAATAATTTATGTTTGTTTGTTTGTTATTTATTTACTGTTTTTATTATTATTATTATCGTTTTTGACAGTTTTTCTCTTTCTACAATAAAATTTTTTTCTCTTCATTTAAACAAAAAAAAAAAAAGTTTTTTGTGTTTTTGTACTTGACCTTGGCAAACTAAAACGGGGGGAAAAATAATAATAATAATAATAATTTCATGTTATATTATATACGCGCGTTTTTATATGTGTATGTATGGTCGTACATCATCGTCATTACTATTCGAATAATTTTTTTTCTCTCTCTCTCTCTCTCTTTCTCCCTTCGTTCTTCGATTCTTTTTCTCTTTTTAATACTGATTTCTTTTTTAAAGCTTTTCCAAACCGTAAACAAAAAAAAAAGAAAAT